ACGGTAGCCGGTTTGTGGCCCTCTATAAAAGTTATACGATGGGCACCGAACCGAGACAGCTCTCAGAAAATTTGACGTTGCCGAATGATTTGTGAGACTGCTCCGATTGGACCTCACCGTGGTTTCTCCTTTATTCTCTCGGTTTTTTGGCAGCTTTACTCCTCTGGATTAAAATTTCTATTAAGAGAAAAAAGTTAGACTCATAGTGAAGAAATACAAAATACATTCCGTGGTATCGTTAACGGAATATAACGTCGGGCGCAGAGATATTTATTAACTCCTTTTAATAAAGATTTCGAACAGAATTTAACACTAAACTTACCAGACGAGTCAAAATTACCCATACCTGATTTCTTCTTTTTGCAATTATTAAAAAGATAACTGATATTTCTTTGAGAAATTATTCCAGAAATTGATTTAGCAATACGCAAACTGAATTGTAAATCAATTAAAGTCTCGATAGATGCATCCTTGAAGTTGCTACAGAGGAATTTCAAAAAGACAATTTAACTGCTCGGTAGGTTTAGTGTTAAGAAACGTGAATATTATTCAATTTGTCGAAGTTCGAATTAAATATTATCTTTCTAATTTCAATTATTGTGGTTTAGAGCAAACGAAGATATAGAATGTGTTTAGTAGTTTCTTTGTTTCAATAAATTATTAGTGACGAAGTATTTGTTTCGATCACAGTTGAGAGAGAAATCATGGGGCAAGGGGTTAAACGAGAGGCAATTACAATGAACTTTCGGTAATCAAGATCATAATAACTACTGATCGTGAGGTGGTGTTGATTCGAATTCCAAATAAGAATATAAAAGTAAACAAAATTGAAACCCATGGCTTGTTACAATTCATATGGAGTAATATGTTTGTAAGGGTCACGAAACATTGCGAAATATCACGAAACATCACGAGAAACGTGATGAATTTACGAGTTGTAAATTAAAACAAAAGAAGCGTGTGCACCCATATCTAGTGCAACATTGACAGAAACTATCAGAAGTGTGATCAGCAGAACTCAAAGATGCATTGTTGATAATGGAAGCCACATTGAACACCAAATGTAGTCTTATCACTACAATATACTACTTAATACAATATTACGAAATGTTAAATGTATTTATCTTATTTCCGTCCTTACCATAGTAGGACTATATAGTCAAGACCATAGTATACTACGTGGTTGAACCCTTTAATATGATGTAAAAAAATATGTAGCATGCCATTTAAAAAATAAAGGTCACCTTTGTTTCTAGAAAAATATTAAAAATACAAAAAATTTAGATACCCTTCGGTTTTTTCTAATGTTTACCATTTACGAAAAACCGATGGTACAAATTATCGCGAACACCCTATAGACTATAGTGTTGAAAAAGTACGATTTCCATGTGAAAATGATTTCTTTAATAACTTACTGAATTTGCAGTGATTTAAAACTTTTATTTGAAAGTAACGACATACTTTGGTAAACATGGGAGAATTCGAACGACGAGACGCAGCGACGTGTTGTCAACAAGATAGAACTTCCACTATCAGAGTAAATATCTTTTAATACTTCGTTCAATTATGTAAGTGATGTGTTTATAAAATTTTAAGTGTGAAGTGTTAAGGAACATTGTTGAAAAGTTAATTTTGATATAATATTAATTAAATCGTGGAGATTTCAATTAATAGGATCTTTACAAAAAATTGTCGTGTCATACTTTTCCGACAATTGGCAGGTCACAGGTTTCTCGATATAAGCACATTTTCATCTACTTGAAATACTAGTTTCTAAAGATTAAAAAAGTCAATTTTAAACACATTCGCGAAACTATTTCAACAAATTATAACAACTAAACTGATGATAATGATTAAGAATCAGATATCGTGTCATTATCATGACTATTCTCCGGATTTTACAAGTGTTAATTTAGTGTTTTCAACAGCTATATTTCACGTGCTCTTGATAGTAATTGTCAAGTTGACATAATATGAACCGTAATAGTAGATCATAAGCATTTATTGGTAAAATTGTACAAGTTTGTTTCAATTGTACAAGTACAATACGTTTTTGCAAAAACCGTTGGTCCCAAACGGTTAATACAGTACTTTAATATCAGTAAAAAGAATTTTAAAATTAGAAATCTTCGTTTTATAAGTAAACAAGTGAAAAATGAGAATATCCGATTCACCCCAAATTCCGGGGGCGACGTAATCAAATCCAACAATGCGCCGCTTGCAGCTACTTAATTTTCATTTGACTCATTTCTCCATATCGTAGTGTAACCAATAATTTTGAAGACATTCAATTGGATGGGTTTACATGTACCACATTGTATAAGGAAGTAGGGAGTATGAATCAAATCGCTCCCTGGAGGGAGACCGTCGTAGACAACTTTATTGAGAAAGAAGGTCATTTGTTGATAAGCAGTCGAACATAAGTGTTCACTGGTGAAACTGAAAAATAGGAGGAAAATTATCTTATTATTTAATTATAGTATGCTTATCGTAATCACCTCGAGTATATATGAACGCTTTTTGTGGTCTCTTCGTTGTTTCACTGTCAACAAATTGTGCGGTTGAGTGCCACTGCTGGTGAAGTGTATTTTGACAACTGTCGGTTAAATGTAAGTATCGCAATATTTTATACAATATCTTGTGCATTCATAAATACGCCAAATTACGTGTGGTCAATGAGCTTGTGGGGTTAACCGCGCGCGTGTTATTTTATAGAATACTGACAGAACATTTTTAATTCGCATAAAGTTTGACCACTCGTAAGGTTATGTTTTCATTTCTTACATTTTGAAAATTGAAACAGTGAAGTTGGATTTGTAAGGACAAAGATAATTTTATTATGTATTTAATTCTCGAAGTAAATAGAATTCATTAATACTTCTTTTAATATGTTAATAATAATATGTTTCATCCATAATTTCGAATTTTAAATAAAAATTTCATGATACGTTTTATAATACAATAGAACGTCATTTATCCGACTACTGATTATGACAATTATCCAACGTTTTCTTTTCGTTTCGTTTACATTTTAATACGCATGTCCTTTCTGTTTCAAATGTCCCATTTCGGAAGGGACATTTTATTTTCCTGTCTGGGCGTAAAGTGTACGATTAAATTTTATTTATATTCATAACTATTATTCAAATATTAATTTCAACAAATTGAAAAATTAATTTTTAATTGATTTATACAATGTTCACAAATTTGGTTCTTCCAAACCGATTATCCAAAAAATTGTTTATCAAGACGGATTTGTCTCAGTCAGTTTAAATAATCTGCGTTCTACTATATCTAAGTACACAGAACTGAAATATGTGTCTTTTCATTCAACGTATCCAAATCACCACGTCGCATACGTTTGTTTTTCAGCATGGAAATGATCAGCTCAAAGGTTGACGAACACGTTCTAGAGGCAGCGCTGCAAAAGCAACTGTCCGTAGAGACGCTGAAAATACTGAGCGTAAAGATCGATTTCTTATCGGAAAAAGGGTCGAACTTTCTCAGCGATCTCTACAAGGTCACAGTGAAGTACACGGATGCGTCGAAGAATGAGGAGAAGTCGAAATCAGAGCATTCGACGGACGTGATTATTAAATTGGAACCAAAAGAAGAAATTCCTCTAGAGTTGGTGCAACAACAGGATCTATTTCCAGTCGAGTCGAAAGTACTACGCAATGTTCTGCCGATGATAAGAGACTTGGTCGGTCATCTTATAGGGCCGTCGTTGTTGCACTGCTTAGACCATCCTCGAGTTCTGATCATGGAGAATCTGCACAAGAAGAAGTTTCTCATGAAGGATCGACAGAAAGGATTAAGTTTTCAACATTGCCGTCTAGTCATGCAAATACTTGCGAAATTCCACGCAGGGTCCGTTGCAGTTCACGAAAGGGTAACTAAAAGAAGTTGTAGTAAAAGAATGTAATTGAAATTATTATTCTCCTTAACCCTCTTGCGGACCTGTGTTGAATATAAATCGCTTTTAAGATTTGATTGAACAGTTCTGTTGGTTGTATAGGCGTATATACTTTGTATGTGCATGCGTATATATACAATATGTATGCGATGATGTAACTTAGTACTAATGGAGATAATAAGATAAGAGCAGCATCATTGCGAAGGCCAGCTGTAAATGATCCCTCACGTTGAAGCATGCGAGGATATTTGCCTCGGTACGAGCGATGGGTTTGAGCTTTCTTCACTTTTTGTTTGAGTGTAACATGTATCATGGTATCTTGGAAGACCGGAACCCATCGCTTGTGGCAATGCACGTTTATAGCTCTGTGTAACTTTTCTTCCATAAATAAAATTAGTTATACTGTTTGACTTTCTTTACTAATTGAATACGCATTCTATTATGAAATTGAATTTATAATACATTCTTCTTAGCAGGATATCGAATACTTGATGACTTATGATTACTACGGAAAATTATTTTCTAGAATCCAGAACTGATAGAATCATTCGAAGACGGTGGCATAGTTTCGAAGAAATGTCCGGAAGCTTTTCTACGACTGATGGAAGTGAGCCTCTTGCGGATAGGACATCAAGTGAAGAATTGGTCAGACGAAAAATGTGTTCAAGCAGCGGCCAAGATAATCAAAATGGCGGAATTAATTAGAACGCAATGCATTGAAGTGTATGACCACGATTCTGACGAATTCTGCGTGTTGAACCATGGGGACTGTTGGATTAATAATATCATGTTTAAGGAAAATGAAAGGGGCGAACCAGTTGATTTACGCCTGGTAATGTACACTTTTATATTAAATACATCAAACATACAAATTTCTGTGATTTTAGTAAACTCTTGAAAATAATGAAAAACAAATTTTTCTGACTACAGTAAATATTATATTTGTTAATATTCGGCGTTCAAATAAATATTACTGTTAACGATAAACTTATTTTCTTGTATATAAATTCAATTAACTTTTATTTGCCATTTACAGTAAGAAACATTTAAGTAATGAACATTCTTCTTTTTATTCTTTCAATTGAATAAATCCCAGTTAACTGTAAATTAATATCATATTCGCATACTGTTGTAATATTCGCCTTTGAAAATATCGCGTAAAATATATAGTTTACACATAAAAAACAATCAAATATAATAGACAGCGAGCACTAATTAACATAAATCATGTTATCCATGTTAAATCATGAAATCCATGATTTAAAACGCAACGTATGTTTCAGGTCGATTACCAAATGGCTGTGTATACATCCCCAGCTATCGATTTGCTGTATTTTCTAAATATCTGTCCAGAATTGTCCGTGAAATACGATCATGACGATTATTTCATTGGGGTATATTTGAATACTCTGAAGGAAACCATGGAAAGAATCGGTTGCAAAACAAAACCGCCGACCTTGGAACAATTAAAAAAAGCTATCCACAAGAGAAGAGCGTACGCAGTATTCTCCGGGATGGTGCTTTATCTGCGAATGATGGCAAACAAGGAGGATACAGAAGACTTCACCACAGTGTTAAAATTATACTCCGGTGAAACAAAAATGGACGTCTTCAAAAATCCGGACTCGGTGAAGCTAGCCTTGAAAATGATACCAATAATGAACGAGAAAGGTTACTTCGATTGACTGATTGACTTCGACACGCAAATTCAGTACATTAGGAGAATATTTACCAAGATATTCACATTTAACTACGTTCTGTTTAATTTTAGAAATTCTAAAAGGAGTCTAGATTAAAACTCGGTTAAGACAAGGTTAAATAATAGGAATAGTAAGTAATAGCAGGGATTCTAATAATTGGAAAAGGGTCAATGGGAGTTTTAATAACAGATTGTAATAAAAAGTTAGGTTAAAGTAATCGACATATCCTATAATTAATAGAATATAGACTACCGGTCGTATGAAAACCGTAGGTACTACTACACATGTTACAATAAAACTATTGTCCTATTTTTCGATCATTTCCGTTCTATCCATACTACACTAATTTTCGAACTCCGATATTTTCATTGTAATACGCTGTACCTACTTCCAGTGGACCAAAGGCCGTGCCCCGCTGTTCAAAGAGAACTGCTGGCAGAGCTATCCCAGCAGATGAACTTTCGAAAAGAACCTCCGAACGTGCGGATTCGGCGGTCAGCCGGTAGCAATTGATTTATTGTAGGGCAGTAAAGCACTAGGCTAAAAGGTCTCCGAAAGCATCGTCTTGGTAACCTACATCGTGAACAGAGAAATTGTTGTGGCAAGCCTCGATGGGGTGGCCTTCTCGCGTAGAATCTCGGCTACTGGAAAAGGAAAAACGCGATGGAACAGAGGATTCATCGTCTTGGAAGAGAGAGCTCTATCTTCCGGTTAGACCAAGGTATTTCTCGAAGGTTGCTCCTTTGCTCTAGCTACCCTAGCTTTCTATCTCTAGCCAGCTTTCCATCTCCCTTCACTCACAGGTTCCTGGAGTTCTTGCTGCTTGACGACTCCATCTTCCTCCCTTGTCCACGGTGACCTGAAAGTTACGCGCAGCCAGCATTCGTAAATCACAGTAGAAAGGCGAATGCGAAAAATTCGGTAGCCGATTTTCGGTGCCCCGCACGAGGTTCGAGAAAGTCGGGTACAGAGAACACCGGAGGAGAAACTAAAGGATAATAGAAAAAATGGCCATCCGTAAAGGATCTGGATTACTCGGTCGTCAGTGTCCGAAAATTCCGGTAGCAGACCGCGATTAGTCACGAATCGGGTCGGACGTAGAAATTAGATTTCCTCGCCCCCTTCAGCCCGTTTTTGCCATTCAGGTTGCTTCGACGAAATGTTCCGATATGAAATCAGCCCGTTACCAGATGGTTGATCTTCTTTGCGACTAGCAAAGTAGCATAGTGGATAAGCATCTGAAGATCGTTGAGTATAGAATAGTGCATCTGTAGCCTAAGCTTGTCTAATTATACTATAAATAGTTTGAGAGAAATGCAAGGAAGTTTTTCAGTTATTTTTTAAGTTTTTAAGTTTATATTTAATGTAAAGTATTGATAACAAATAAGAACATTGATTTTTATTAAATTAAGGGATTAATCAGTATTGTTAGAGTGATTATTTTATTTTGATCTTCTAAACTGTAGTGGCAATAATGTATTTTTTCTAGTGAACTTAGAATGGAGTTTTTATTTTGCGTGTGTTTCCATAAATAGATAAACAAAATTGGTATTTAATTATTTTCAATGAAAATTGACTGAAGATAAATTCAATAATTTTGAATATAATGCATACGCAGTTGTATTATAGAATAAATTCCGTAATAAAGAAAAGTGTACGATCGGAATGAAAGAAATTCGTGTCAAAGGACGAGATAAATCATAAAAGATTTTGAATAGGATCACGAACTAATCTTACAATCCTTCAGGGGTTACGATTTAATACAATTTTCACGTCGAATTCATCAATGTCTCTCACCCACACGACTCTTCTTCTTCACGCGTTTTATCAAAGGTGACTCCAACCCTGAGAAAATCTTTCAGAAGCTGTGGAATGCGATTAATAAGCTGCCAGCTACAGAATGTTTTAAACGCTTAAATTCTATAGGGTAACAAATATACATTTCTATTATCAAAGACTTTTATACTCTAAACAGTTCCGTTTTACAAAATGTATATTTCAGAAAAACTTTAATAATAAAGATTTATTATAAACTATAATAAAAATAAATCTTTACTTCCAATCTAATATCTATAATATTCTACGCTACAAACGTGTAACTTATATTTTCTTTGAGATATAATACAAAATGGTGTTCGATAATTTTTCTAGTCTTTAAAAAAATAAGCTCAACAGATTATCGGGTGTACACACATGTTTTTCTGAAGGATCGCGTAGTTCTCGGTGAACCTGTTCCGTGAACCTATCTCGAATCAAATTGAATTAAGCTTGAGGGGCCGTAAGATATCCGAGAAATACAAATCGTGCAACGGAATTGTATTGCACGAACGACGGCCGAGGATAAAGAAAAAGAACCACTTATCAATATTATTCTCCGGGCCCGCGGTACATACGGGCGTATTTACACCGGCGGGACATGCAATTTTGGCGCGCGACGTGTAAATACAAACGTGTCATTGGACAACAATATACCCGTGGGATCCGAGGCCCGATTTTGGTGTCAATGACCACACCATTCTGAATTTTTCGATGGTATTCCGTAGCGACCTCGAGTAAATTATTGCTAAATGGTGTACCGGCGGATGTCAAGATGCGGGCCTCATTCGGGTGGTCGTGGGATCTTTCGACGGCGACCCATACAGAACAGTAGAATGTGGAACAGAATCTTCTTAATCGATCCCCAGACAAATCGATTCTCTTCGGGCTTAAGGAAACCACGCAATTGATCTCACTAGCCGAATTCATATTTCTGTCGCAGCCGTTTATGAAAATAAGAATGAAGTAGTTGGATTGTCTTTTTCTTCAAATTAAAATACTGGAAAATCTTCTATATAAGCTTCAGCTATTATTATTCTCTATGTATTAGTAGATATATGAACAAAGAATATACAGTAATAAAAAATATAAAATTTCTTTTGTTATGAATTATTGTTGCGATAGAAATGTATAAGTCATATTGAATTTCAACAAAATTGTTATAAAGTCTAAGGCCAAACATTGGAAACAGAAGTTAGTACAGTTTCAGAGATAGACAGCAAAGGTTAGCTAAAAACTAGTGGATTTGTACGAATACATTTCACATTGAGCAAGAATACACAACGTATTCTTACAAATTAAATCAATCTTCAAGTTAATAATAATCATTGGAAATGACCATAATAAAAACTATTAAAAATTAGAGTATTTGCCCGAACATTTCAAATTCAATTAGAATACCGACGCAACGTATTCTTACACTTAAATCGAGCATCGTGGAAAGACCACGAACATTTGGCAAAAGTTAAGAAAAATTTATGATGGCCATCGGTAACAGCCATAAGAATTGACCATAGACCCGCGGGTACGTTTCAAACGAATGTTCGGGAGTACGATTGCCGCGGTTCCACGATATTTTGGGAATCTGCGGCCGCAGTAGCATTGAAAGTCAACCGAGGATTCGTGCCCAATATTCCTTCGGTCTGCATCCGTGGGAACAATAAATCAAGAAACACGGATTTATGGGTCAATTCCGTGTGGCCGGAAGGTAGAGTTGCCCATTTCGAAGCTTTCTCCTTGTCGATCGTTTCTTTTACTGCTACCGCATCTCTGTCTTGGCGTTTGACCACTTTTCACGAGGACCTTGCACAAATTGCTCGGAAACGCTTGCACCAATAGGTATCCTTTTTCTCTTTCAGCCGGAAATTTTACGGGAAAGTGTAATGCAGCCAGCGACCATAACCACCATACCAGATGTTCATGCAAATAAATATTCTCATAAACTGATTTCTAAAATCTGTACTTGTATGGAAAATGTATTTTTCTTCTTATTAATCCTTCAATTTCCGATGGGATCGCCTTGATATCACATGTTTCGGTATTAGTAAAATGCAAATCGGTGGACTAATCACTAAGCCATAAACAATTGTTCATTGGCAGTTTTAACTATTAGTTTCTCGCTGTCAAATCTGAACTGATCCGATTCACCTCGGTCTACCCTCTAAAATCGATATAGTAATTGCCTCTTTTCTGACAGTTAGAATAACAGTTTTTATAAAAATATTTATTTCTGTTAACACTAGATTTACGGACGTTTATTCTACATTTTATTCTATTGTTCCTAGAAAGCTGTGTTCGTTTATATAGATCACGAAAATTATAACTTCAAAACCAGAGTATTACAATGCGTATTCGCACAATTGCACGAATCAAAATCAACTTAAACTGTTCCTAAATAATGTTTAAAAATTTCGATATCCGTTACACTGACGGGTTCCGTAAATCTAGTGTTAAAAATGATAAGATAGTTAACGTATATTTTGAAAATAAATGCAGTTTTCCTAAAAGTTTTCTTTGGGACTTAAAATAGCAAGCTTATCAATTACAATATTTTCAAGATACAAAATGTTGAGCGTTATAAATATGTAACAGGAACGTGTTAAGGGGAAAATATAAAATCTGATTCCAGCTTCGGTAAAACTGTTTATTTCGCTGTATTTCATACATTCGCGAATGTAATAAAATCAAATCCGTGTTACAGCGATTGCAACGGCTGTTCCATCTGGATGAGCAGAAATAATAAAAAAAATATTTTACAAACATGGACCAGACGCGATTTATTGGGGAATTCGAGAAGATAATATAAATAGAGAAAAAAATATATTTTACGCAATACAATTTGGACTATAGTAAATTTTTTAAACTCTGGGTGTAACAAATATTGTTATCAACGCTTTTCGAATTTCATGAAACCTAGCAATTTCATTTATAATTGCAAATAGTTAAATTTATAAAAAAGTAAACATCGAATCGATTTTACAGTTTCATTAAATTATGATCATAAGTTTCGCTATGAAATTGAAATGC